AGTACACCAACTTACACACCAATCTCCTATCAATGAACTAGTTAAGAACACATCTCATTAAATGAGCAAACTACCTAACATAAGATTTCATGCATCACTATTTTATAATTGAAGTTGCAAGATTAATATATTATCATTTTTTATTAATAACCTACTCCCACATGCAGCTAAGTTGCCATCCTTATTATAGTACAAAGCACTTTGGCATCGATGACGGGCTGTTCTTTGTCTTTCGTTATGTTTTTTGCTTTCAAATGAAACGGCTAACATTTTTGTAATTCAAGAAAAAGTTTATTATGGATTACTAGGATTGCGCAAGAATCCAGATTTTGGTGCTATTTCCTTAAATACGAACTGACTGACAAGGAAGTTAAAGCAATGTTCATAATATTGGGGGTTATATTTGATAATGAAATTATGAAAGTTATGATTTAATGGTTTTATTTGTAGAGGATAGCAAATAAAATGGATATGAGAACATAAAAGGTTTTTAGAAGCTTTAAAGGAAAAATGTTCCATATACATACTTCAAGAAAGTAAATTTATTTTCGCATACTCTGCAATTTAGTAAAAATACATTTTATTTAGATATTTGGTGCATGTTTCTTTCAAAATGCCCTGACATTTGTTAATTGGTGTTAATCTCAACTCTGGCAACGACAATTGTGTCCTGTTGAATTGTATATTTCTCCATCAATTCAAATTAAGTTGTTAACATTAATACTGTAATTCTGGCTCGATGTGGGATATATATTGTTATTTAAGCATTATAAATTATTACATAAAATTTCTAATTATGTACAGCTTTGGTGGTTGCTGGAAGTTTTAGTCAAACAATGCGTATGAAGAGATGAGGCCATTACGAGAAGTTTAGTGTCATTCTTATTGCACAGTTCACGCTCACTTTTTTCATGTCAAGCTCAACATTTCTGCAAAAGCTTCATTCTTGATTTCATCTTTTACTGACATTAATATATGATGAAGGTCTATTGTTGGCATGGCTTCACTTTGCTAAATTCGCCTATTGTGGAGGAGACTTGCAGCAGATATTCCAAACTGGTTGACATAACAAATGGATTGTCTCACTGGATATTAACTGCTCACTTACCTTAACTGCAAGTGAATTTCTTCACTTCCTCCAATTGATAGTATCAATGCTTTCAGGCAGCCATGAAAATTCAAATTACATTCAAAAATATATAATTTTGTGTTGTATGGGAATATTAGGAGAAATGTCAGATTGGTAAGATAAAATTGTCACTACTTTGCCTATTGCATACTAGCAATAGTAGTTTCATTTATTTATTCACTTATTCAGGTTTTTTGTATTTCAAAAAATTATACAAAAATTATTAACAATATCTTGTGTGACCCTCAAATAACTTCACAAAAATACATTATATTCAAATAAAGCAATACATCATTTTCATACGAGAATAATTATAATGAAATAACACAAAGTACACAGAATACAAGAAAGTAACACTGCCATAACCAAGAAGTATTTGTTAAGATTGTTTTATAAAGATGGAGTAAATGCCTTGATTACATCGGTATAGAGTTAAATTTTTGACGAGCCAGAATCTTAAGTTTCCTAAATATAGACGAGAATAACAAGTTTGTATGATTAGTTTTAGCAAGTTGCAAGTTCTCCAGTAAAGAAGGTAAATTAACACTCCTATAGTGCAAAAGTTCTCTGTATTCACTTTGGATTTTGGAAAAGTTAAACATTAAAGCATTTGATGTAGAAATAAACAGTTGATGTAAAATTGTTCTTTAAATTATAGTCGGATACAGAATGTTTTTTTAAGAATATTTTCAGGATCTCTTGCTACAGAGCAGAGAAAGTTCTGTAATGTTGCCTGAAAAAACAATGTTCATCAGAAAAATTATTTAAAACTAAAACTAGGACCTGGTAATGAAGTGCATAAATACATTTGCTAAATTTAGAAAAAAAAGTCCTAATTTGTGGTGTAGCCAGAATTCCTTTTCTGGGTCCTTGATATCAAAAGACAGAATGTGCCTGAACAATGCTAGTGGCTAAACCATTAAGCTGATTTTCTCTAAAGTTGATATTCCCCAACCGATCTGGCTGATGCAGCAACTCCTTGATTTTGAAAGTCATTTCAATTTTGGGGATTTAATTTATTTCAATAATATTACGTTATGATTGACCATTACAAAAGCGTTGACAAAGTCTAGATACATCGATACGCATGCCTCATTACTATCAATCGCATTACTAGTCCACTCAGATAAATAAGTCATGGCATCATCAGTACTTTTACTTTCTTGAAATCCAAATTAGTGGTTATTCAGTAAAATACATTGTACAGTGAAGCTTGTCATTGTAACTTAAATTTTTTTTCAAATGTTTTTGATGTTCAGTTTAACAGACTGGGATAATAACAGCTTTTTTGAAGTGATACGGTACAATGTTAACTGCAGTACATTTATTAATAAGAAAGACTTAATAATATATTGGCATTTGTTTAATTATTTTGGTTGTAATTTGATTGACTCCCTTCTTTTCTTATCATGCGTGATATATAAAATGTCAAATGGTTCATTCTCACTAGTGGGCCTTAAGAATTAATACTCAGCCGGGGTAACATCAATGCATGTTTCAAATTTCATATGATCAAAATTTGCAGCCAATTTATTGAGATGATTTGTTGTGTCGTTTTTATCTTTGTAAGAAACATTGGTTTTGGTTACTTATTGCGATTTTGCTAGATATAGTTTTATTTAAACATGGATTCAATAGTCATATGGATTCATAAAGTCAATAGCTAAGTTATTATAATAATTTACTTTGGCAATTTGTAATAGCTTGGCAAGCATGGCTTTGTACTTAATAAAGTATCTATTTGCAAGGGCAATATTATAGAGGTTAGATTACTTTCGTGAACAGATTATTTTTTATGCAGCAAGATTTAATTAGCCCCTCCACTTTTTCCTAGGTTTATTTTTATTTCTAAAAGTAATTGTTTTGAGTTTGATATTGCACTTTCTGATACAGTTATGAAATGCTGAGTCGCCAGATTAATTTTAGTTTAATTTTACATATTACTCATTCCTTTTCTGTATATATATGTAATATAAGGAAAGTTATGTAATGCTGTGGAAAATTTATTTTGAGATTTCAACAAACACATCATTAAGGGGTCCTGTGATACCGAAAACTGTTTTTATTTCAAATGTCTGTCTGTCAGGTGTATGTGAACAACACTATCTCCTAAACCAGGTGTAGGATCTTTTTCAAATTTAAGAAACCCCTGTTGATCTGTCCTGAATCGATGCTGCAATTTTGAAAAACAGTCATTAATTTATTTACATGAAGTACCTGGGGCATTTTCAAAATTTTCTCAAAAATGACTCAAATCTTATTCTTTTAATCACTTGTAAAAATGAAGTTAAATATGCCTATAAAGGTGGCATAGGTCTGATTTTCACTGTTAACTGAATTTTCAAAAATTCCAAAAGTTAGAATATTGTTCACTTTTCCTACAACTACAGTTGAAGATACAGATTTTTCCTTAAAATAAAACTTTTTCTTCAGAGTGAGTTCATTCATTAAGGTCATATAATTGTTTTTTGAAAATTTTTAGTAATTTTTGCACAATAATGTGAGCAAATATGTGCAATTAAAAAAATTATATTTCTAAACTCACTATAAGATGACATAAATGCTATGTTGCTCTATTCTTTTGTTCTTTGAAAAATAATAAAAATTTAATTTGTTTGACGTCATGTTAATATTTATATTTGTGACAATTTCTTCACAGTATTGTATTTATGAGTACATGTGCTTTGAA